TTTCATATTCTTCTATGCTTCCAAAAGCTGTTAACTGCCCAATCTAAATCATGCAAACATGAACATATATTCAAAGCAGAAATAAACAAGTGTAACACTAGTAAGCCAGTAATCTTTTTGTTAGAAACTATCATATCCATTAGGCTTATCTTTCTTAATTATGCTCTTATTCTAATATTAAATACTGAACTCTATATTTACATTTATGTACACAACATTTTTTCTTCTTATAATAAGCCAATATATGATATCTTTTAAGTTTCTTATGAGAGCTGAAGCTAAAAGGGATTAGTCACACTAGCTTCCAAAAGGAACCTAGATTTCCACTTACCTTTTCTGTAATCTCTTTTCTTCTGTCTTCTTCATCTCGTTTCTCCATCTCCATATCGGTAGCAATCCTCACACTCTGCCTCAGCGCCTCCTCCAGTTCCTCAATCCTCTCGTTCTTCTGCTTCACCACCACAACGAGCTGCTCCAGTTCCTCGATCTTTTCATTCTTCTTCAGTTCCTCTTCCAGGGAATGGATCTCTTCCTCCATCTCTTGGATCCTTTCTCTCTGCCTCTTGTTCTCATCACTCAGGTTATTGATGAGAGAATCTTTGAGCTTGATATCCACGTCCATCTGATCCAGCTGGAGTCTGTATTCCCTCTGCCGGCCCTCCATCTCAAGCAGGTCTATCTCCTGTTGATCTGACCTTGATGAATCTTCACAAGGCTGGATTTTTGAGGTTTGGTTTTCACAGTGTGTCAATTTGCAAGAGGGAGATGATGACATTTTTTTTTTTTGGTTGGGAGTTGTAGTTGATGTGTTGATAACATACCCATAGGAGGTCATGTTGGTTGTATCCAAGTGGCAGTGGGTATGTGCATTTAGTAGGCATGCACAGGTTGGTCGTCATGGGAAGGGAACAGTTCCATGAGGCGGTTGGTGTGATAGGCAGCAGTTTTTGATACATGGATTGGCAGATCAATCACAGATGTTGGCCAATCAGTATATATATATATATTTTTAGGACAGTATTTTGTTTGGTGTTGAGTGGTCGGAAGGTGGGCAAAGAAAGGTAAAATGCAATTTGTAAACAAATATCAAATAAAACTACTTAAAATAGAAAAAATAGATTAATTCATAACTAAATTACTTTGAACTTTACACATCCCTTCATTTTATATCTGAGGTCCAACAAGAAACCAACAAGATTCTTTGTTTAATTTTCATCCATTGCACAGGCACATCAAGATATATTAATGGAAAAGTTTTATTCTTTTTATAATTCATATAATCTCAAAGACTGGGCACTCGCATCATGATATCTTCAATTAGAACCCTATTTATTAACCTCAGAAACTACAACAACAACAATAACAACTTAACAACACAGGTAACGCTCATTGCCTGTGACAAACGTTCATCTAATTCTAATGCTTCAAACATGTTCAGGATTATCATGTTACAGTCTGGTAATTCATTTAGAAAAAGCTTTTCATTAGGCCAGTAAATCCTGAGGCAGCATTTTGAAGTGGCTGTATTATACAAATTATAAGCATAATAAACCAAAGACACAGATGATAATGAAAAGGAAGAGAGGGATAAAAGGGCAAGTGTAAATGAAACAGTCAGTAGAAAAAGAAAGAAAACGTGAGAGGAAATCAAAGAAAAAAGTAGTTAGAAAAATAAATACCATAAAATACACAAAATAAATCAATCAGAACATAAGCAATATCAAAGAAATAAAAGACAAAAAAAATGTAAAGGAAAAATCATTAAGATTAAGGGGGAAAACAGAAAAAAAAAATCAAACAAGAAGAACACAAATAAGGAAAGAATTCCATGATACAGACAGTCAAAAAAGCATAACAAGGTGTAGGTGAGAGCGTTGGGTTGGGGGAAGCAGAACAGACGACGCAGTGTGAAGACAGCATCCGGCAATGCAGGGGGAGAGAGAGAGAGACGGCCTGTTAGTAAACACAGCAGCATGCGGTGATTCTCCTATACAACTGGCCCCTCAATCTCCATTACAAATTTCCACTACCTTTTCTTTTTTTCTCGCACAAACACTTTCTCTGTGTCATTCAGTCCCGAAGGCCCCTTCTCATGTTCTATTCTACAGTGAATAAAGAAAAAGGGTAAGATAAAAAGGATGAAAGTAAAGGTCTAGTTCACTTCCATACATGAATGGATATTATATATGACATTCATGAAGCCTAGTTTTTGAATTTCATAAATTATTTAATTCTATAGAGTCTACCTCTGAACAATAAAGTATTCTTTTTTTGATGTATTATTTTTTTTTTTAAGAAAGAAAGTTAAAGTGAATTTCTTTGTTAAGTTCTATAAATCATTTACCTTCTTCTGATTTCTTTACAAGAAACTTGAACTGACAGCACTTTCCATGGGCATAGATGAGGAACTAATGATATCCTACTTATATAGCAAATAACTCTGTCTTTCTATTTCAGAGATAAATAAAATTCCCAGTCCACAACATTTTTCCCTTTCGGA